GGGAGCAGCCGTGACTTGGGTGGAGGCAGAGCAGGAGTGGACGCAGGTTCTGAGCAGCTCTGTGCGGCAGCGCCAGGTGCGTCACTCATTGACTCACGCACCCTGCTGGCGGTGTACCGAGCAGCTGGGATCTGCTCGGGAAAGTCTCTGGGCACCACGCCTAACTCCTTGCAGTGCTCCCACGACAACAAGGGTGTACCGAGAGTAGGCTGCACGTCCATCCATCCGTGACACGACCTGTCGCCGTAGGTGATCTCCGCTTGAAAGGAGCCCACAGCGTCCGGCATGTGGGAACCGTCCACATTGTAGTACAGCAGCTGCGGCGGTGGTCCCAGGTCGCGTTTGGTGAGGCCCAGTTTCTGGAGGTGCTTCAGGCCTATCACTGTAGCATCAGTGCCGGTGTCAGGTAACACCTCGATGTGACCCGACACATCACCGTGTGTGACGGCGACGCGGATGGTAGGGGAAGGGGTAGCCCTGGGGCGTGTGGTCGATTCCACCCTCCTGATGTGACTCAGCTGCTGCTTGGGGCTGCGTGGGCCATCTGAAGGGGGCTGCGTGCGAACCACCCCGAGGGAAGTGCGCTGCTTTCCTCCTCGTCTCGGGCTTTTGAGCTTGGGTTGGCGGCAGCACTTGTCGTAGTGTCCATAGCGACCGCAGGCCTGACACTTGTGGTCTCGTGCAGGGCACCTGTCTGTGTTAGACCAGTGGCCCTTACGGTCACATCCACGACACAGTGCGTCGGCGGCCAGGCATGTCTTGGGGCCATGCTGCTTTCCACAGCTGCCACAGGAAGCACTAGGCGGAGGCGTGGAAGAACGTGCGGCAGCACGTTGTTGGCCGCCTTCTTACCCTTCTTGTACTGTGAGATAGCTCTCACAGCAGGTGGGGCCCGTAAGGCAGAGGTGGCGGACTTGGTGGCCTCGTATGACCGACATTCAGTCACTACCACCTGGAGTGTGGAGGAAGCGTCCATGGGGATGAGTCGCTGCACCAACTCTTCTTGCCTGACACCTGTCAAGATCCCATGCTTGATCCAGACTTCCTCGCATTCCTGGCTGTGCGCCTTGTAGACGTCGATTTTCTCCGACAAACTCTTTAAACGTACAAAAAAGTCGTCAAAGGATTCATTCTCCACCTGCTTGCAGCGGCGACGCAAAGCCTCGTTATTCCGACCTTTAACATGCTCCTGTAAAAGGTCGAGCACATCCGTCGCTGAAGACGTAGAATCGGGAGGCACTTGCAATGTGTGCTCCAAAACTCTCTGGGTCTCCAGTGACAAACACATCCGCAGTTGGATGAGGTATTTGTTTGGAGGCATGCTATCAAGGTCCACCATCTTGGCGTAATCTGTCCACCGCCGCCTCCATTCACGAAAAAGCTGAAACGTGACGTCTGGTGAGAGGGCGGGTAGGGGTTGAACAGATGCCTTGAGAGCTGTTCGAGTAACAAGAGTACCTGGAGGACGCTGGTGTGGTGGAGTAGAGAGGGTACTGGCGCCTTGGTGTGCGCTACCTGCGAGTGAGGGAGGGTGGGTTACCACCAGGGTCGCCAATATTGCATCAAAGCGCGCCTTTTCCTCCTCTCTTCGTATCTCCTCCCTCTGAAATTCCATCTCTCTGCGTCTCTCGTCCCTGTCGTCCATCCACCTCAGAATTGTGGCAATGTCCGTGGCTGGAGGTGGAGGATGAGAGGCAGTGGGCGCAAAAGCTCCATCTGCGCCCGGTAGAGGGGAAGGTGGGGAGTCGTGTCTCCCATCTTGACGTTGTCCCTTCTGACTGCCCATCTTAGTATGCTTGAACTGTGCTGTTTAGTATATAAAGTGGCGCCTCATCAGCTCAAACCACATATATATGACGTAAACAGCGCAGAAATAACGCAGAGTCCACTATTCTGTCCGTGAGTGCGTGCGTGTGTGTGTGTCTGAGAGAGCAAATCATAGTGGCCTTAATGCGCCAACCGGGTAGAGCCGCCGCGGAGGTAAGAACGTTAGTGTCTCCCCGGATGTCACACGAGAAGGGTGTACACCTGCGTGCTCCGTGGGTACCACAAAAAACAGGCCAATGCTCAACTCTCAGCTCTAGACACACTAATACACTGACACTGCCACCGTCACTAAAACACACTGTGATGGCGCAACACTGCACGTCGTGGCGAAACACAACACAACACAAAACACTAGAGTCGACACGCACATCACCGGCAGACGTAACTGTCGGCATTGTTCACAACACTTGTAAGTCCACAAATCCTACTCACTGCGCCATGAAGGTTCCAAGTGTTCCCTGAAGAAGGCAGTGATGGGTAGGGAAACACCGGGTAACACTGAAGTCCATTTATTAACGGATAGGAGAGATACAAGTAGTGAGCAGCGTGCGCATGAAGTGCTATGCACGACCCACGGAGTCAGACTAAAGCTGCATTGCCATATGGCAGCCTCGGGGCAATGTTGCCACATAACACGTGCGTTGTTACCACATAATTACATACATAGATGCTACTCGGCACAGTAGCTTAGATACATAACCTACACTTCCTACCTTCCCTGTTATTGTGAAAAGGTTATACCCTTCTATGTGGTACTCTGATAAAAAGTTCTTGCTAGCCAGGTTCATCCAAGTTTAGGTGATTGCTATGATGTCTATATTCTCGGTACATACAACCGCTCTCAACAAGTCTATTTTATTTCTAACGCTCCTACCGTTTGTATAGTATACATTTAAACCTACCCTTCCCTGGTCCTGTTTTACCCCTTGTCCTGAGTAACCACTTTTACTCCCCAGGACATGCTTGTTTTTTTTATTCCCACTTACCCCGACCTCTCTCTACTGGCGAAACCCCCCCCTTTAGAGTGACAATTTCACTCTCCAGGGATGCAGACAACGTCTATACCCGTGCGAGACAAGTGTACTCCGTAAGTCAAGTATAGGGTCTAATGGTAGACTCTGCTGCCATATGGCAACACGAAAATTGTGACCAAATCCCAGGATGCTGATCTGACTTTCTGCTTCATTTACATACGATTGCAGAGTCTCAATTGTTTCTCTTACTATTGATAACACAACATACATATAATATTTCTCAATTTTGATTTTTTTTAATTTTTATATTTCTTTGTGGTTCTTTGTTATTACAGGTTGACAACACTTTATAAGAAATTCCGAAAACCGAAAAGCTCTGAAAACAGGGATTTACTCACCCAGGCGTAGATCACTGACCCACATCGGGGCCTGGGGGGCGAAAATGTAATAGTAATACTAATTATAATAATAATAATATTCATAGTAAATAAAAATTTTAATAAAAAATACACCAAAATAAAATAATAATAACAATAATACTGTAATAATATTAAAATATAATAATAAAATTAATAATAATAATAATAACAATAATACTGTATTAATAAAATAATAATAATTATAATAATAATAATAATAATAATAATAATAATAATAATAATAATAAAGAAATACAAGAATGAAAAAAGATAAAAAGTGAGAAACACGACCTAGATCTATGAATTATTAATATTATTATTATAATTATTATTATATTTTCGCCTCCCAGGCCCCAATGTGGGTCAGTGACTTGTGCCTGGGTGGGCTAATACACACAAAAAAAAAATTCTGAAAACCGAAAAATTCCGAAATCCGAAATCCGAAATGCCTTTGGCCCCAAGGATTTCGGATAAGGGATTGTCAACCTGCTTTATAATTTTTATTTTATTTTTATTTTCAATTTTGTATTTTATATTATAATTGTATTTACTATGAATTATTATTATTATTATTATTATTATTATTATTGTTATTGTTATTATTATTATTATTATTATTATTATTATTATTATTATTATTATTATTGTTATTATTATTATTATTATTATTATTATTATTATTATTATTATTATTATTATTATTATTGTTGTTGTTGTTGTTGTTGTTGTTGTTGTATTTTCGACCCCCAGTCCCCGGTGTGGGTCAGTGACCTGTGCCCGGGTGGGCTAATCCCCGTAAAAAAAAATTTACTCATTATTTAAATTGTTGTTGAACTCGTCAACCTCAGATCTCGTGATCAGGTCATCCTCAGCGGTCATATTTTGTGGGCTTTTCGTTGTCAGGTCACCAGGTAAAGTGAGGTCGCCCTCTGTGAGTACATTGTGTCTGATCATGTAATTACCCGCAAACATATTACAACTTGTCTCAGCTGCCTTTTCAACCTATCAAAGTTTGCCCATCTGAAATCAGGGAATTTAGTGGAATTTTCTTCTCGACTCACAAAAAGTTCTACTTAAATCTCACTTCTTTGTGATTGCTGTTACCGAATTCGTTCCCTACCTCGACATTACTAATGAAGTTTTCTCTGTTTGACAGAACTAAATCTAGTATATTATTACCCTGAGAGGTGTTCGTCTGTATGTTGATTTAGGAAATAGTCCTGAACTATTAGGTTTAGCCGTTTAGGTAGATTAGCATTAAGTTAGGTTAGTTTGGCTTAGTGTTTGATTAGGTTAAAGTACATAAGAACATAAGACTGAAGAAAACTGCAACGGGCCTATTGGCCCATACTGGGTAGTCCCATTTACACCCAACCCCTATTGCTAATAATTATGTCCCCTCCGACATATGTTTGAAGCTATCCAGCGTATTCGAGTTAATGGTGATGTTTGGTAACTTGTTCCATTCATCCATTACACTATTTCCAAATCAGTGTTTACCTATTTCGCGCCTAAATCTAAATTTGTCTTATTTAAAACCATTGTTACGTGTTAGGTTAGGTTATGGTAGCTTAGCGTTAGGTTAAGAAAGCTGTGGGGTGGGGGCACATCTTCAGCTAATAGAACTAAACTTATAGATGATTATAAAACAGGTCTAATCCCCTGCATCTGTGGAGGAAAACCTCCCGGGGGTTTTGCTAATAAGACTTAAAAAATGCAAATACCTGGAATTTAAGAGTACGAGAAGTGAGGGAAGCCTAATGTAACAGCTGCCACGCACCTGTTTATTATCAAAAGGCTGTTGTTTCGTCGCATTTCCGAGAGGCTGGGCATATCATCTGGACACAGCCCGCGCCGTCGACATTCTGCCTCCACGCTGTGAAGGATGCGGGTTTATTAAATGCCTCAATATTGAAGAGATGGGTACAGCAATACATAAATATTATATTAAACATGGCTTCTATAATTTGTTTTTTTTTAATTTTCAAGAGACATGACTACAATACCTACACAGTGTGTGTATATGTGTGTGTGTGTGTGTGTGTGTGTGTGTGTGATCGGCAACTTGTCAACGTATTGGAGAGCATCACATCGTATTATCTAGTGTCCATACCCCCAACACAGTCCATACTCCACCGTGTCCTCCACCACAAGAAAATAGTCAGCAGCTATGCTGGTGGTGCGTCTCTTGTTATCAGTGGTTATTCTGGTCCTTCTACTGAACTGTTCTCAAAGTTTCTACAACTATCCTGTATGAGAAGCTGACGAGTATAATAATATAAAGCACAGTGTATACAAAACATCAGTGATAATATTTTTTATTATATAATACTGTTTAGCATTATCTGTATATACCTGCACTGCCTCGGTACATTGTATACCAGCTCTATCTCGGTACATTGTTTGTATGCCTTTACTGTCTATTTATATACCTGCGTTGAATGTGTAAATATAGTGACTAGCTATAATGTATATCTATTTACTTGTTGATAATAATTGATGATAATATTTACCTGCTCACGATGTAGTTGAAGATGCCCTCAAACACAGCACCACTCAAGGTACTGATCGCTCGCTGGGTGAAGGTCAAGGGGTGTCTCATCTCCAGCATGGGGTTCACAACGAAGGACGGGAAGTCTGGATTGCCGACCAGTGAAGTGAAAGGTGACATCATTTCTACTTGGCTCACGTATATGAAAGGCAACTGGTAAGAGAGAAAGAGAAATGTTGTTGGTATTTTAAATTCGAAATTAAACGAATCACATGAATTTTAGCTCTATCTTATTTCAACATGATTAAGCGCCTCAATGCTAACCTAACGTAACCTCACCTCACTCAGCCTAATCTAACCTAACGCTAACCAACTTAACTTCATTATCATCGTTTCACAGCTGTTTTCCTCACTTGCATAGGTTAACCGTGATCATCACCGTTTCCATAATTCATGGTCTCTTGCAGTCTTTCTTGTCGATTCTTAACTCTGACGTCATTTCTTACAACCCCTCTCCATGTCATTCTTTGTCTACCCTCTGGCTCTCTTTGCTTACGCATTTAGGCTCATGCACTGGTCTCCTCCATACATGCTTCCCATATGCCCTAAACCACCTCAGTTTGCCTTCACACATAACTTCGCCAATACTCTCAATACCCAGCCGCCGTCTTAGCTCTAAATAGGGCTCGTGTCTTTCGGTGTCACATTGCACATCCACCTCACCATTCTCATTTCAGCTCCCTCAAGCCTCCGTACGTCAAATTCCTTAACTACCCATGATTCACTACCATACAACATCGCACTTCTCGTACCAGTCCCATGTATAGTAAGGGAAGGTCCCTTTGCTATCTAAAAAGGCAGTAACCTAATGTACCCCCCCCCTTTCCTCGCCTCCCAGATGACATTGGGGTGTTTAATCATCAGGTGAAATAAGTTAAAGGGGCTATTCTTCATGTGAGCCAATTAAACATAATAGCCTCGTCAGGCAGCCATATGCAGTCTAATATTTTATAAACTGATTAGTCCACAAATGATGCAGCTCACGACCAGTTCCTGATTTATGTTGTCGTAAATATATTTCTGAGGATAAGGCTTCAGTGACGTTCATTCTTTAGTGATAATAATACCCACAGAATCAAAATATACACAACTAATGAAGAATGGCCTAACCTAACCCCCGGGTTGAGTAAGGGAGTTTAATCATCTTAAGAAATAAACTGAGAGGAACTAATCATCAGGCGACCAGAAAAAATCCAAAACAGTACACTTAACTTACCTTCAGTTGGTGAACCACAGACAGGAGACAGTCTCCCAGGAATGCACTGAGAAGAATCAAGTCAAATTTCTCTTTCAACAAATTTTGTATCTCATCCGAGGACAGGGCGTCAGAGCATATAGTGGGCACAGCCAGCATCAGGTGTATAGGAGCAGTTATCTTATTCCCTTCAAATAGATTGGGGATAACCTTCAGAATATCCGCGTTTGTTACCCTCACCTCTCTCACGTTGGGCCTCTCCTTGGCTGGCTTGTAGGGTGACACCATTGTAATCTGTGTATGTACATTGGATACACTATTATAATCTGTACATATATTGAAGGGAGCATTATAACCTTTGCATAATGTGTATTCTGTGACTACTACTACATTTGACGAATATTTTCCCCACCTAACTAATGGACTCCCATAAACTAAACAATGATTAATCAATATGTAAAACTAACAAATTCCTTAGCAAAATAAATGATATTGTCTTGCAGTGCGACTCTCTCACAAATCTTTGTGTAACAATAACATAATCGAAAAAGAATAGAAACGTGAAAAATATTGTACTTAAACTTTTTCAATGTTAGATCACCTAAAGATTATAGGCACGGCAGCTTAATTCACCCTTTTGCTATACCTAGAGAAGGTGGGTTGGGTTGGGTTGGGTTGGGTTAGGTTAGGTTAGGTTAGGTTAGGTTAGGTTAGGTTAGGTTAGGTTAGCGTTATGTTCGCTAGGTTAACTTTAGGTTAGGTTAGGTTATATTATATTACATTACGTAAGTTAGCCTAGGTTAGGGTAGGTTGCCTTTAAGTTAGGTTATATTGAACTAGATTAAGTCAAGTTGTTTAAATCATCAGGTGAAATTAGCTGGGCGATCTTGAGATTATCCCTAATGCTTTTCATTGACTAGTGTTCTGACCTAGCTAGAGGACAGGTCACGGCAGACTTAGTTCCCGGGGATTAAATGTAGGGGCGCCGGTGGCAGAACGGTACCGCTCTTGCTTCGCAAGCGAGATGTCACGGGTTCGATTCCCGGGCAGGTGAAAAGTTGTTTGGACATACTTCCTATCCCTCATTGGTCCCTGTTCACCTAGCAGTAAAGTAGGTACCTGTTGTAAATCGAAAGTTGCAAATTCGTATTCAGGGAAAGGTGTTGGAGCTTCCAATAACTTGGTGACATAAAACCATTGACTCTTCAGGCTTCTACGCCCTTAACTCATGAGACATAAAGGCAAGCATGAAATTAGCATGCTTCCCTGTTGGGTGCTGTAAATGCTTCTGCGCTTCACCTTACACAAGGATGTAGTGGGGTGCCTAATAAAAAAAAATAATTGTCAGTAATGGCGAGTGCTACTTGTGAACAGGGCTGTGCCCTTCTGAGGGCCGAGCTAGTGGCCGATTTAAGGACGAAAACTTGAAATTAATGGAAGTGATAGCGAGGATGAAGGAAGAAGACATGAGACAAGGAAAGTCCGAGTCTGATGAAAACGCAAGTGAATGGAATGTTGTGAAAAGAGGAACGACCAAACTGTTGGTGAGAAAAGACACCAAAGAAATGACATGGGCGAAGTGTAAAAGATCTTTTAGTAACTACAACCTATGGTAATTTTTCTTCGTATTCATATATAATAAAGATAATGCAGAGTATTTAATGCCATATACAATATTTATACATAATATCATCTATACAGCTGTACTATGACTGTGTGTGTTCGTGCGTGTGTTGCCTCGTGATAGTTAGAGTGGGCCCCTGTCCAGATAGGACACTGTACTAACCTCCAGCACAGACCCAGGTGGGCTAGAGAATATGGTTTCCGAGTGTACAAAAACCTTAATTGTTGGCGATTTCCAGGTACGGTACCTGGATAGAGCTTTTTGTGGCGAAATTAAAATAAGATGAAGGTGTGTTTGCCAGGAACTGGGTGTGGGGGATTTAGTTGACAAGATAGACAATATATTGTGTGGTAATAATATTGGCCTGTGTAGGAGTGAGGAGCTCCTTGATAAGTTCAAGACAGCAATGAATGGTTGTCAAGGGCAGTTGGTCTTGACGGATAGTGCAAGTCGATATCAGTTCCATCCATTGACAACTGGGACAACTTTTATGGCAAAAGGGACCTTTATGCTAGGGATGGGGTGGTAACCCTGGCTGGATCTCTCGAGTGGGCAGTTCAAAAGACGTCGAAGTTTTTAAACTGCAAAGGGAATATGTGAGCATGGGGATCGAGGAGAATGAAGTGGAAGCGGGTAAACAAAGTGAAAGGTTACAGATAAATAGTGCTAGGAATGATAAAAAAACTAAATTAGGCAGGGAGTTAAAACTTAAAAAAGACAAAAAACTCGGATCACGACTAACTTAAATATCTACTATGCAAAAAGTAGAAGTATAAAAAACAACATGGATGAAATTAGGCCGTTGGTATGTACCGAAAAAATCGATAAGTTAGCATTCACTGAAACCTGGATAAACTTAAACTTGTGAGTTACCTGTCGAATACCAAGTTGCAGGTTATAAATTATTCCATACCGATAAGCAGATTAGGAAAGGAGGCGGAGTAGTAATCTATGTCAGGGATAATCTGAAGTACGAAATAAATAAATTAATATAAACTGAACTGAATACAGAAATAATTGGATAGAATTAACCGATGATAGGGAAAAATTAATCACAAGATTAATGAGCGACTTATTTGGGATGAAATGCGCAGGGCAACCAGACATAGCAAAGTCTGTATAGTAGGAGACTTTAAATTTAGCCAAATGGGTTGTATCAACCTTACGGGTAACTCAGAATCAGAGGATTTTCTTAAATTAGTTCAGCATTGTTTCCTTGGTCAACATATAACCGATCCCATCCGAAGTAATAATATATTCGATTTAGTTCTCTCAAACTAGAATTTAATGGTAGTCGCAAGGAAAATTTCATTCATGTCCCAGATATCTGAAGGGCAAACATTGATAGGTTGAAAAGACAACTGAGAGAAGGGGGTATCACATTTGGGGGTGAATTACATGACCTCACGTGAGGTGACCTCACATAATGTACCCACAGAGAGCGACCTCACTTTTCCTACATTCCTCTCAACGACATCACAAAATATTACGGTTCACGAGATCTGAGGTTGACGAGTTTCACAACAATACAAATAATGAGTTACTTAATGCACAAAGGCAGAACATGCCATACAGAAAACTCATATTAAACAACAATGACCACAAATGGATAAATAATTAAATTATTTAAAAAATATTATTGGACAAAGGGAGGCTCTCGGTAGGCGAGTGAATCGTGGTGAAGTTTTCCCGAGGCACGGACTATATACAGAGATAGTGAAGGAAATAAATTAAGCGAGATAATAGTGACTAGTAACGATGTTAGTAAGAAATACAAGCTAAAGCCAAATAAGTCAACAGGTCCCGATGAGATATTTGTCATAGTATTAAAGGAATGTAAGGAAGAGCTTAGTACGACCTTAGCAAATTAGTTTAACAGGTCCTTAAATTCTGGTGTAGTACCAGAATCCTGGAGGATAGCGAATGTAATACCGATTTTCAAGAACGGATATAGATCACTGTCCTCTAACTACCGTTCAATCAGTTTAACATCAATTGTAGGCATATTACTGGAAGCAATAATTTCAAACTCCATTCGAAATCACCTGGAGAAGCACAAGTTGATAAATGATTCCCAACATGGCTTCACAAGTGGGCGTTCATGTCTGACTAATCTACGAATTTTTTATTCATCTTTTTTCGAATCGGTGGACGTCGGGCACGATTATGATGTGGTATACAAGAGGTATCTCTAATTTAGCAAAGCCTTCGACAGAGTCCCCCACGAAAGACTAATAAGAAAAGTGGAGGCTCATGGCATTGCAGGAGATATTTTAAAATGGATTAGGACATGGTTACAGGACAGGAAAAAGCGAGTGAGCTTTAACGGCACTGTATCCGATTGGAGTAACGTCACTAGTGGAGTACCCCAAGGATCAGTACTTGGACCATTATTATTTATTATATTCATAAACTACATAGATATCGGTATAGACAGCAACAAAAGTAAATTTCCTGATGACTCTAAAATAAGGCGTGTAATTAAATCTCACGAGGACTCCGCAAAAATACAGGAAGATCTAAACAAATTTTTCGAATAGTCTGAAAAATGGCAGTTGAAATTCAATGTCGACAAATGGAAAGTACTTAGTCTAGGAGATGTAAACAGAGAAACCAAATGAACAGCGATGTTATAGAGAAATCCGACTGCGAGAAAGATTTAGGAGTAATGATAAATAGGAATCTCAAACCAAGTAAACAATGTGTAATTGCTCGAAACAAGGCTAACAAAGTACTGTACTTGGGTTCATACAAAAGAGTGTTAGTTACAAGACTAGCGAGGTCATTTTAAAACTATATCTTGCGCAGGTTCTAGGACAACTGCCCCCTGGACATTTGCCCCCCACCCCCTCGGACAATTGCTCCCCATTCCCAGTGAATAACTGGCAAAAAACATGGAAATAACCTAACTTTAACTTAAAATAACCTAACCTAACCTACCTAAACCTAGCCTAACTTAACATAACTATGGGGCAGTTGTCAGGGGCAATTGTCCAGGAGGTAGTTTTCCTGATACCATCTTGCGCTTCTGAGACCTCACTTGGATTACGCAGTTCAGTTATAGTCACCGTACTACAGATTGGAAATAAAATCTCAAGAAAGAATTCAGAGGAGAATGACCAGACTAATTCCGGGCATTAGGAACCTTGAGTATAGAGGCAGGTTAAAGCATCTGAATTTGCACTCCCTCGAGAGACGTAGAGTGAGGGGCGATATGATCGAGGTGTATAAATGGAAGTCAGGGCGAAACAAAGGTGACATTACAAAGGTACTCAAACTTTCCAACAAGGAGTGAAATCGTAACAATGGTTTTAAATTAGACAAATTTAGATTTAGGCGTGAAATAGATAAACATTGGTTTGGAAATATAGTAGTGGATGAATTACCAAACATCATCATTAACTCAAATACGATGGATAGCTTCAAACATAGGTTGGACGGATATGTGAGCGATAGGGTTGGGGGTAAATGGGACTGCACAGTATGGGCCAATAGGCCCGCTACAGTTTCCTCCATTCTTATGTTCTTTTGTATCATTGAGGACACAGTTAAAACACTATTGAGAGCAGAAACCAACAGACACCATATCCATCATGAACTGCTGGCTGAGTGCGTGTTGCATACATTGTAAGCACATGTGACAATAAGCATGTGACATTGTAAACACATG